AGAGTGTATGTGTCAGTGTGTGTATCTGTATGTATGTACCAGTGTATATATGTCAATGTGTGTATGTGCCAAATGTGTGTATCTGTGTGTCACTGTGTGTAGCGGAGCGGCAATATTAAATTCCACGATCTCCGCTGGTAAAGAAGGTAATCCACAGTCAAGCGCTGAAAAGTAAGGCAATATCCCAAATCCCCCAGTAACCGGACGAAACACAGTTCTGGGAGTCAACTGAGGTTTTTATTCACAGCATCCAGTATTTATGCAAGTCCCATGCAAGGGGTTTCCATACTGACATAGCAGGGGTATCACAGTAGGGGACTACATGTGGGACTTAACATTCTAGGCATTTCTCCCATCAGGCACTGCTGGACGAGAGGGATACTCCCACTGGAATACACCGTTAAGTGGATTATCCCTCCGTGCAGCATAACCGGCATTTCACATTTAAATACATAACTTTTCCACTGTTCGGTTTATTTAAATGAATGGATGTTTGGTAGATAGCTGGGGTCTGAGCGCACATTTCGTAGGAATACCGCTCAAATCCCAGCTAAAACAACCGAACGCCGCACGAAATACACTTTGCCATCGAGTTCGCCTAAACGGACCGAACACCGATGGGGAACCACATTAACGAAAGACCGGAGCTCCCGAACGGCCTTGAAGTCCAGCGGTGTTCGCGCCAGCCAGGCCCCAAGAGATACTTTTGCTAACTTTTGAACCCCTTGTCTGATTTGTGCCATTTTTTAATATGTTGCTCCCCTGAATGGATTGATTCTAAATATGTAATTTATGAAGATTGGATGTGTAGTTTGAAAGTTATAGTACATGTATAAAAACTGTATTTTTACTGCCTGTGTTTAATTATGTTAACCCATTGTGTGCCATAATTCGATCACAGGCAGAGGGGAGGATTTTTGTGTGTAATTGCTGGGAGTGTTTCTGTAATGTACGTTTATGATTGGTTATTCTGTAAACCCCATGTGGGTGGTCCTATCTCAGGGAAACTTGCATAAAAGAAGGCCCTTTGGTGCCAAGTAAACAGATCTTCTTGACCCTCAATACGTAGCCTTGTCTCGTTATTGGAGGGAACTGCTATATCACACTGGGGATTGCTATGCTCTGAGCACTGAGCTTTTAATCACTTAGCTCTTTTAAGAGCTGTTCCTGTTACGCTCTCCTGGAGGAGAGGTCTTCCCCACACGGTCCTAGAGGACAGAAGCTGATCCAGGGTGGAAGGAAGACGGCGAGACTCCAGTTAAGCTACGGCGGTTGTGGAGTCTGCGGTGGTTGTGGTGTCTGCTGCAGTGTTTGGAGTCCTCAGGAAGCGCTAGGAGCATCCATCAACGGAGGGTACTCGGTCGGAGTACAGGGAGCTCCGTTACAGTAACAAAAACAGAAAAATAGGTTTGCTTAAAATTTAAAGTGCAAACAGTATAAAAAGCAGCTTACAGTGCAAATATACAGGGCAATAGCGTAAAGTGCATAGATTTGTGTAAACAACACTCTTATTCACATATACATAATGTGTGATAAAACCACTTGAATGTGCAAAATTCAAAAAAACACTTTAAGTGATGTAGTGTACAAAAAATGGCAACTGACACTAGCAGCTAATTTTCAAATAAATCTCATCATCAGTTGTAGGAACATAAAAGGAATAAAAAAATATATATAGTGTAATATTGTAAATATTAGATAGCACAGAATTAAGGTGAGGTAGGAAATGAACTCACAAACACAGAGCAGATGAGCCTGCTCTACCTTGAATAGCCCAAAAGGAGAGACTCCCACTATAGCTGGTATGGTAAAGTGAACAGCCTTTACTGAAGATAGGTTAAAATGACATAAATATCACCCGGGTCCCGCTGGCAGAACGATCCTGCTTGCGTACATGTGCAGATGCCGGCTGGCACAAATATTCTTGCACTCTCCTTTTGCGGTAGTTTTCGCCGTCGGGAGACTTCCGGTAGGCGGAGCTTCCCGTGATGACGTAGGGTCAGATGACGCGTTTTGCCGAATCAAACGGCTTCCTCAGATCTGACCTTCTTACTCCCCAGCAGTCTTTATAAGTCCGCCCTGGTGGGCGTGGCTTACATAATAATGTTCTTAATTGGCTAGCACAGAGAACTATTAAGCATATGAAAAAAAGAGGAAGGGAGGGGGGCGGAGAAAAAAAAAATTCCAATATATATTGCAATTTTAAGCGCATCTATCTTTCCTGTTTTTGTTATTATATGTGTGTATGTGCCAGTGAGTGTATTTGAGTTTGTGTGTATTTGTGTGTGTCAGTGTGTGTGTATGTGGCAGTGTTTGTATTTGGGTATATGCCAGTGTTGATATCTGTGAGTCAAGTTGTGTATATGCCAGTATGTGTGTGTATCAGTGTGTATATCTCTGTGTCAAGGTGTGTGCATGATGGTTGTAATAAGTTGTGTGTGGGTCCCGTGTGGGGGAGGGACGTGTGGGGGTGCGCATGGGGGGCGGGGGCGGGGGTACACATTTGCTTGATGGGTTTGGCCAGGGATCCCCTAGCCTAAACTAGTTTGTTTTACTGGCAATATTGTTTCACTTTAAATCTGGAAACATGCATGTTCTATAAAAATAAACAAAGAAATCACACCGGAATCAGAGGCAAACACTTACCAGATTTCCCCACACCTGCTCTTCCAAAGATGGCTACTTTCACTTCTGCACTTTTTGCCATTTTACCCGTGAATAAAAGGGATTTAACTTTGTAAATGCAGCTTTTCTTTAGGATTCTCAGTTTGTAATTTCAACATTGACATTTCTCCATGAATTTAAACCGTCAAGAAATCTAAAAAGGAGCAAAGTGTCAATCACATTCAATGACAAAATACTAACTAAAGTGAGAATTCAAAGGTTAAAAGTGACAAACCGGAAACATGGGTTCGGGTAAATATGTCTTACGAGGATATGGGTAAAAAACATAATGGGATTGTGTAGGGTATAGCTTAAAATAAAGGTTAAAGGAAGATTCTAAGCACCAAATCAACTTTACAATACGCCCCCGCTGTCTTGCTGCTCAGTCACTGTGTTAATGTAACCCTAGTCATACATCCCTGTGCTATGACTTACACAGCATCCCTTCATAAAAAAAAAACAACTAACATTTTTGTAACTTCCCTTATAGCATAATGTGTTCGTTTTGAATTTTCCCACATGACAGACGGCTTCATATTTTGCATAACTTTCTTTACTGTAAACTTCAGCAGCAAATATCTATCATAAAGTTTAAACCAATCAGAACAAAAGACACAAGTATGTACCAGGCAGTGTGATCTAGCCTCTTCCTCTTTCTTTGCTGCTTCAGCTGCAACAGGTCAGAGTATTTGCCCTCTCTGTATATTTATACTGATTGATCTTTATTGTGACTCTATTCTGCTTTATTTTCAATTTATTCGTACCTTCCCTAGCTCTCCTACCCTCCCGTTGAGTGCCTGGCTCTTTATTTTTATTTAATTCCCTATTTTAATTTTGTGCCTGTTTCTGTTATTCATCCTGTAAAAGAAGCTGCCTTTTGGTTTAGGCCTAGCTTCCTCTCGGGCCGCGGCCGTCGATTTCACCACGGTTGCGGCCTGATTTTCTACTGAATTTGCACACTGGGCTGGGATTAGGGGGTAGTGGGGTAGTTTTTTGTCGCTCTACCGCCGCTCGCTCGAATTAATCCCGCAGGTCCTTGCGTGCAGCGGCCATTTTGGGTTTAGTTTTCCGCAAAATTTCAGGATGGTCATCTTGCTGTTTTGCACAGCTAGATAAGGACTGTCCAGGACCTCTGACTAAACAGAATTCAACTACCTGCTCACAGGACCCTGCAGGATTTCACCTACTCACCAGATGCTTTTACAATTTCCGATTTTACAAATTTCTTTGATTATATTCACTGCAATTACAATTGTGAGAATGTAATATTTATTTAATATGCCTTGTCTGATTGTGCAATCTGAACTACTGCACACAGGGGTGTACCACTGCAGTATTTGTCCCCATACACCACATGGAAAGGAACACATATGGGTACACCCCACTAAAGGTACCATTAACCCTCTCAGAGGGATTGACCACACAGGGTCATAACGGACCGTGATCTGACAGTCCGTCGGGTTACACCATTGCCTCTGGAGGTTTTAAGCGCCTCCCCCTAATTCAGGGTGTCAGCCACTGATATACAGGCCGCTCATAACGACCGGCAGGGACGGGTGAAGTCGCGCACCCCATATAATAACTACTTATCGTGTCTCAGTGGTTGTGACATTGGTTTTACACCGGTTGACCACCGATTGTACTGACTAGGGAACTCCCTGTCTGGCCAGATAACATAGATTGGCTACTAATTTCTGGTCCTCTCATCCGCAAGAGTCCCATATATCCTAACCTGACCACGTGCCTTATGTTATTCTATAGGGGTGAGCCCCCATTTACTAATGGAGACTACCAGCGTCTTCCCATATTAACGGTATGAATACCTTGCATATATTAGCCACTTGTTTCAACCGGCTGTGAGTGGTGAGTCCAAATAACAATTCATTAAAGGCAATTCATTAAAGGATTTCAGATGGAGGCGTTTATTTCATTTATGTACTTTATGCCGTTGTCACCGAAGGATACCATTGACAACCTAAAGAGTGTGGTATACAGTGTATACAATTGAACTTTTCTGGTGCCTGTTTTTGCAGACTCTCTGTTACAGCTGTGAGAAGGACTCTACACTCCGACATAAGTGACTCACCAACCCAACCCAACTCATCAATGATACAGGCTGCAGTAGAAGCATCAATGGAGGAGGTACTCTCCAAAAATCCTCATGCAACCTCCTCCTGAGGTCTCTTCACAAGCCGTGGGCATGCCGCCTCTGTGTGATGATGACACGGTAAGCTCGGATGTCTCCAACACTGATGCACCAGCCATGGTCAAATGACACAGGAAAGGCCCACTAAGGCCAAGAATACTACTTGCCCACTAAGGCCAAGAATACTACTATGGCTAAACGCCCTAAACCATTAGCGGTGTCAGTACCACCACCACCTGTGATATCCTCGGAGGAGGACGATGACTTCCGTGCTGCTGGCCTAGACATCTTGGACAAATGGCGGGCTGGTGAGGATAATTGGCTGGACCTTCCGACCACATTGTCGAAATATGTTAAGGAATCGTATATAGGAGGTCCCTTCCCTCACAGAGACATTCAGGCCGCACAAGGTGATGACTGGCTGTTCCTGCACACTCAGGGATGCGTCATGGACCGTACGACACCTGAGATCCTCGGAGTGGTCCTGCAGGTCCATTGACAGGGAGGTGTCCACTTTTTGATCCGCAGGCCCATTGACAGGGAGGTGAGAGCCAGACTCTAGGTGGAATGCCCTCAACCTACCCTACCGGACAAGATGGTGATCACCCCGGAATTTATTCAAACAAGGGTCATTTTTATGTCTAGGTCAGGGCGGGATCCCCGCAAAGGAGCGAAAAAAGGGCTGAAAGCCACTCAGGACAAACTACTGGAAATCCTGGTAACAATGGCAAAAATACTGTACTTCGCAGATTTGGCCCTCTCCCAGGGCTCGAAGTGGACCCACATGTCATTCAGGAGTCGGCATCTGCCTGCTAGGTAACACCAACGCTGCCCTGTGTACCAAAAGGCGCATTACTCCAGATCGCCACCAAATTGATGGACATGGCTAAAAAAGAACTTGGCCCTTCAGCCAATGGTCTCCTGTTCGGTGAGGCCTTCATCCGTGAGCTTAAAAAGCACTCCTCACACTTTACCACCTTGAACAAGGCCTAAGCTTCGATGAAGCAAGTTTTCCGCTCTGCTCCACCACAAGGTGTTTTTGGGAGGGCTGGTTGGCAGAGAGGTCCAGTCACCAGCTGCTTCTGGGCCTCCAGCCCCAAACCTCATCCTCCAGCACCTACCTAAAGGACGCTTACCTATATGGTGTCAGGAACCGGGGGGATGGGGGGGATGCATCCCCCCCAGCAAATCATGCGGGGGGGACAGGTTATGGGGAAATCCCCCCCAGCCCCGCGGCCCCCCCCATGCTGCAGCCACCCGAGTGCTCTGTAGAGAGCCTCAGGCGGCTGCAGCTTTGCCCGGGCGGTGTGTCTATGAGGGCGGACCGCACCGCCGGGCGCAGCCTGAGGAGAGGGGCTGACAGGAGGGAAGTGCTCAGCGCTCCCTCCTGTCACTCCCTCCCTGTAGTGTGGCCGAGCCCAGTATTGTCCGCGGGTACAGGGAGCATCTGTCTCCTGTACCCCGCCGGACTAACAGGAAGTGCACACTGAGTGTGCACTTCCTGTTAGTCCGGCCGGGTACAGGAAACAAAAGCTCCCTGTACCCGCGGACTATACTGGGCTCGGCCACACTACAGGAGGTGGGGGGGACAAGGGGAGGGGGAAGAGTGACGAGGGAGGGAGGGGAGAAAGTGACGAGGGAGGGGGGAGAAAGTGACAAGGAGAAGTGACAAGGAGGGAGGGGGAGAAAGAGTGACAAGGAGGGAGGGAGGGAGAGAGGACAAGGAGGGAGGGAGGGGGAGAAAGAGTGACAAGGGAGGCAGAGAGGGGGAGAAAGAGTGACAAGGAGGGAGGAAGGAGGGGAGAAAGAGTGACAAGGAGGAGGGAGAAAGAGGACAAGGGGAGGGAGGGAGAAAGAGTGACAAGGGAGGGAGGGAGGGGGAGAAAGTGTGACAAGGGAGGGAGGGGGAGAAAGAGTGACAAGGGAAGGAGGGAGGGGGAGACAGAGTGACAAGGGAGGGAGGGAGGGAGGGAGGGGGAGAAAGAGGGAGGGGGAGAGATTGACATCTATCACACACACACACACAATCGCACAATCATGCAAACCTTACACACACAGAAACACACAATGCATTCCTTACACACACTAAATGCACTCCGTACACACACTCAATGCACCCCTTACAGACGCACACACTGCATCCCGTACATACAGAGAAACACACCTTGCAGCCCTTACACATACAAACACAGATTCACACAATGCATTCCTTACACACATATCAGGACATCCCCTTCACACTCCACCCCCTGTGAACAAACTCATTGGTGGAACATGAAGGTGGACCCTGGGACCCAGACCTTGAGTTGTGTAAAAGGCCCCCAAAAAATGGAGCTGCTTCTCGTTCTCCCAGAACATTGATTTCTGTGACCACAGTTACAAACAGCCTCCAGAGAGCCTGTTCTACACCAGACCAGTGGAGCCAGACTGCAGCTAGAGCCCATCATCATCCTCATCTGGTTGTAAGTAGGCAATCTAGCATATTATTCGTGGCACTAATCTCTAATTTACATGGAAAGGGGTTCTAATATAAATGGAAGGGGTAGAGACGGGTAGTAAAATGTATGGAATGCATTTCTGAAAGTGTCACTGAATGGCAGTTAGGAAATGTGGTCACCCTAAGTCAGGGGCAGTATTACGCAATCTGTATATGTATAAAAAAATATAAAAAGTAATCTGCAAAGTACAAAATGTTTGAGTCATATGTCGTGCTAAAAATTAAGCTAGGAATGTGCATATTTTTTTATTTTTTTAAAATAATTTTTAGAATAATGATACAGACATTTTATTTCTTACATTTGTGATGGTTCTCTTTTCCTCTCTATATTCAAGGGACACTATAGTCACCAGAACCACAACAGCTAAACGTAGTAGTTCTGGTGTCTATAGCAGGCTTTTTAATGTAAGCACAGCCATTTCGTAAAAAGGCAGTATTTACATTACTGATGAGGAATACCTCCAGTGGACATTCAGATGGCCACTAGAGGTGCTTCCTAGTCGAGACATGAATGCCGCCCTATGAAGTATCTGCGCATGTGCGGCAAAGCTGTGCATGCGCACCAGAGAGCAATGACGCTTCTGAATAGAAGCGTTTTATTGCTCCCTGCTCGCACCCTCCTATTTCGTTATTTTGATGAAATAGGGAGCGCAGCATCAGGAGGATCCCGGCGCTGTATCCAGGTAAGTAAAATCCCTTCCCTGTAGTGACCCTTTAAAGTTATTATTTAATCATTTATATAGCAACTGCAAATTCCATAGCGCTGTGCAATGGGATAAACAACTCATGGTTTACGGAATAAGAATATACCCGGCAAGTAAAAATGCTATCCCCCCCAGATTTTTTTTGGTTCCTACGCCCATGGTAGCACCTTCTCTGTCAGAATTTCCTCATGAAGCTTCTGAAGCCAGTCATGGTTCACCTCCGCTCTCACAGCATAATATGTCCAATATATCCACCTATCTTGTCAGATGAACTCTGCCGTCGACCTCCTGGAATCCTTGGGTTGTGTGGTAAACCGGGAAAAATCGGCACTAGAGCTGACACAAGTCGTACAATTTCTGGGATTCGAGATAGACTCGACTTCTTGCATTCTGCCCCTTCCCCTCTCGACGACTGCATCCATACGGAAAGGGATTCGGAAGTTACTCCAGATGGACCAGATCCCACTCTGACTACTAGCACATGTAGTGGGCCTGCTATGCGGTTTGATTCAGGCAATCTATCCTGGACCAATACACTACAGGGCCATGCAGTGCCTCAAAGCTTGCTTTCTCCGAGCAGGCTTCTCCTACGACCACTTGGTACCTCTCAACCCAGACGTTCACACGGACCTCCGATGGTGGTTTCGGCACATGCAGGCCTGGAATGGGGAAGCCCTATTTGGTGCCTCACCGGATTTCATGTTAGAATCGAAAACAAGCCTGTGGGGCTGGGTGCATACTTCTCCACCGGAGGTCCGTGGTCAGCAGAGGAGCATGCTCCCGAGCACTTGTGGAGGCAATGAAGGACATCTTTTACCTGTCTTGCAACATTACCTTGAGGAAGTGGAATAGTTTTTGGGCATGCCCATTCTAACAGCGGGCTTGTATTCCTGCCACTGGAGAGACATCAGCGACTGGATGCTGCATCCTAAAATATCTCTGAGCCTGCACGAATGCTGTGGACCTCTACTGATAGACCCTTTTGCATCAAGGACCACTCGCCAACTTCCATGGTTCTTCAGTTGGGACTTAGATCCGGACTGCGAAGCGGTGGACGCGTTCCTACAGGAATGGCCTTCTCTATGGGCATACGCGTTCCCAAAAACCTTGCTCCATGTTGGCGAAAGTTCTACACCAACTTCGTGTATGGAGGATCTCACTGCTACTGATTGCAGCATTGTGGCCGAGCAATGTACTATGACCATTCACTTCTTCTTTTCTACTCTCCAACCCCATAGGGGAACCACATTGTCCAGAAACAGTGGCTTCCATGATTTCAGGGGATCTTGGAATGTCGACAGCCTATCGCAGGCTACTAAAGACCTATTGTGGGACTCATGAGCTCCCGGCACTAGACGCACTTACCTTGCTGCCTGGAACAAGTGGAATAGCTGGTGTGTGGAGAGGGATTCCGATCCCTTTATGGCACCTCTACAAGTCATACTGATTTCCTGATGCAAATATTCACCTCAGTTAGTTCATATCGTTCCATTAACGTTTACAGTTCGCCCATTTTTGCTGCACATGTTCCAGTACTTGGTTTGCTGGTAGGGCAGAAACCGCTTGTCTGTCGATTGTTTTGTGGTATTCGATTATCATGTCAAACCACTCCGAAATATTCTCAGCTCTGGGACGTAGACTTGTTCTTTCGTTTCATGAGGGATTGGCCGGATAACCCGTTGTCGCTTTGCCAACTCTCTGCAAAATTGACCCTATTGGTCTCCTTTCGTCAGGTTTTGGACATTCGGGCCTTTGATGTCGACGGCATCTCCTTCTCGCCAGAAGGTTTTTCTTTTTCTATTTCATGTAAGACTGTGATGGACCCTCCATTAATCGATGCTCCTAGTGCTTACCAACGACCATCAGCACCGCACCAGACACCATAAGCACCGCAGATCCCACAAATTGCGGCAGCTTGGTTGGGGTCTCACAGTTCTCTACCCACCCTGGACCTACGACAAGGCTCCAGGTTCCAGTGGGTGAACCTCTCCTCCAAGAGAGAGTAGCAGGAACAAGCTCTTAAAAGTGCTTAGTGATTATAGCCCAGGGGAGTATACAGAGTATAACAATCCTCAGTGTTAGATGCAGCCTTTTCCCCCACACATGAGACGAGGCAGATCTGAGGGTTTATTGTCTTTTATACAGTTTTCCCCACAAGGTTACCACCCATGTGGACCTTGTGGAGCACAGGACATAAAAGTCACAAAACTAATCAAAACAGTATTGTACAGTTAGACACTCCCAGATAATGTACACAAACCCTGCCCTCTGCCTGTGATACAATTAACAAAGACAATG